CAGGAATCCCTAAAGCAGGAAACGGCATTTGTCCAGGACACCTGGACTAGCATCCAGCCCTCAGGAGAAGTGTCTCGGGCTCATGGGAAAACCATCTACCTCCTCCTTTGTCTCTTTCAGAAAGACCGACCAGATCATATGCAGTGAAACATGCTGAGACTTTTTCCAATTGTTTCTAAAGGACATTAAGCATCTTTCAAGAGGAGAAGAAACAATCTATTTCTAGAAAAATCCATGATACAGTAACATGGCCAGGTTCAAAGAGACATGAAGTTTCTAAGGGTAAGGCACAGACAAGAAGACAATGCAGCAAAAGGATGCAAAAGATGTAGAATGCCTTTGGTACACTAAAAGTAGCTGATATTTAAAGGCATGCATCACAGGTGTGCACCAGCAATTCTCAGCAGGCATGCTTTAACATATGCAGCTCGGTATAGAGATATCAATTAATTTACCAGGCACAAGAGTCAAAGCAGATCTAAATGAAGCCAGAATGGGAAAGGGGAAGGTGGAAAAAAAACAAAAACAAAAAAACAACAAACCAAACAACATTCTCTGAAGAGCTAATGTCGACCTAAAGCACAGCACTGTGAGAGGCAAATATTGCTTTGGGTCAAGCAGCAGACTGAGGTAACTAAAACAGACCTCTGACCCAGATTTCCTCTTTGCTGTATCGTCTACATTTAGGAGGTCCCCAAATCGCTCATTAGTGATAAACTGATGGTGCGTTGGAATAACCCCTGTGTGCCTTCTAGCTGCAATATCAGCTTCTTCTTGCTCACGTTTAAGCCGTCTCTGGTCCTCTAAAAGTTTCTGCCATAAAATTGCATAAAATGGGCAGTAAATAATCTAGTTAAGGGCATTCAAAAGCTGCCATAAATGTGACTTAAATAAAATTTCTGACATCTCAGCAAATAGCTGAGATTTTACAGTTCAACATAAAACACTGATTCTACTAACTACACAATACCCTTTCATTTTGCAAGCACAGAAAGTACATCACCATTATGGCATAACTGAAACCTAGTTCATACAGAGGATCTGATCCCAAGCTGATGGAAGTCAATGAGGACTTTTTTCCTAAGTTTTGGCCAGGTCTTGGGAGCTTCTAAGAAGACAGCTGATAATGCAGAGGGCTGATCCAAACCCCTCTTCAACCAACAAGGAGTTTCTCTCATTGACTTCCAAGAGACCTGAATCAGCTCCACAGGTAAGTTCCGAGGTACCAAACTCCCCTGAGCTTTGCAAGGAGAGTGCCTAACCACCTTCAGGTTCTCCCATACTTCTTTTGGGCTCATGTAATACACTTTGTAAAATAGAGGAAATAAACTCCAAAGTTATTTTGGACTTCTGAAGCCTCTAATGGAGGCACACTAATGGAAACATGCATTCTTGAGTAACTGGGCAGAAGGATTCTTCCACCTTTTGGGGCTGACTGTAGGCTGAAGAGTTCAGCTCTGCGCTAACTCATTTGAAGCCTGTAGGTCTTCGTGAATTCAGAGTTTTTGCTCTTACACGAGTTTTCATACTGGATTTTGGAAGTGGGGGGATTACTACCTATTTCATTGGAGATGATAGCAAAAATGTATTTTTCACATAGGAATTAAGAGCTGGTTTTTCCATATTTCAAACCACACATAAACATTATTTGAACTCAGAAAGTTAACACTAAAAATATAACCTTTCCACTCCACCCCCCCACCCCCTCCCAGTAGTGAAAATTGACAGCTTCCTGAAAAGCAATCACTTTATAACTTCTTTAATTCAGCTTGAATACAGTCAGTGCTGAAAAGTTTGTGTGGCTTTCCTACTATTTTGGCTTGTCCCAGTGTTTCCTAGCCATTTCAAAAAAGACTGCTTCATTCTGTCATCAGCAACGTGAGACACTGTAAAGAATTCTAGTTTGCACTGGGGGGAAACTTCACACTTTCTTATAGCTTAAAATATCTTACATTGCTGTTCAAAACCTAATGAGCCCCACAAGAACAAAGTACTATTCTCACCAGTTTGATTAATACCTACTCAAGTGGAGAACAATAAAACCTTAACTCACAGAATAACCATTTCATCTTTATCTGCAAGTTCTGGGGTGTTGTACCACATCTCACATACATTTCCAATCTTTTAACTTTCTTTAAAGCCCACATATATAATTTTGTGCAATTGATAAGGCCTATCAAATTCATTTTAAACAAAAGCTAAACCAGACTACACATTATACATTAAATCAGTGGCAGAGGCAGTATTGAAATTAAAACATACTAATTCCAGCTTATTGCTCTAACTTCCAATATACATAGCCATGGACATACAAGCTGTCCTTATACAAGGCTAAATACTGTACTGCTTGCATATGGAGCTGCTACAACTGTTACTAGTCCATAAAGGAGGGCATTACCTCTTTATCGTCATGCCGTCTGCGGAAAATTTCTTCTGGAGTTTCCATGTAATCAACTGGTGCAAAATGCCTTGGTGATTCTGAATCTACTTCGAAACAACATAAGGAAGTTAAAATACAGATGGATTTATCTAGCATAAATCAGAAAAGGAAACCAGAAGGAAAAAAAATAGATATTTTTAAACAATTTGTCTCCATTATGACAGTATGGATTCTTAATTGCCATTGACCAAATTGCCAATCAGATGTTGATAATTTATCTGTTTTTGGTTTTTGGGTTTTTTTTTTCCCTTTTGGGCTGTACTAGTGAACAAAGATCCAAAAACAGGGAGAAAATAATGGTTTTTTTAAAGAGTGAAGACATATAAGGACTTTGGGAAGGAAAGATTTGCTGCCATCAAAGTATGTTTTGGCATTTTACTGTTGAGAAAAGTTTAATACACACACACACACACCCACACACAACTAGACCTTGAGAAACTGTTCCTTAAAGCAAATCATCTGGGTTTGTTTTATATTCCCATGCGTGTAAATGATATAGGACTAGAAATATCTCATAGTGAGATTCTTGCATCCCCAGAGTTGCTTGAGAGACAAACTAAACCCGATGTGATTAGTAAGGCAGCGGAAATTGTTTCTCAGAAGTGCAGCTGTTAACAAGTCCTGAACAAAAATGCTCAGCAAGACACGCAAAGGATGTTAGACACACCAGGAGGAAAAAATAGAGAGTCAGGGGATGCAAAGATGAGGAGTAAAAATGCGAGGGTTGTGGAAGAAAAGGGGAGGAGAAAGGAACACAAGAAGACGGATGAAGGGATACTGGTAAAGAACACAAAAAGCCACCTCCTAGGTACGTCCCAAGTTCACTTTGCGGGTTGTTGTTTGTGTCCAGGCTGTGACAGAGTGTATATGGAACAGGGTTCCCATTGTTTAAGGAGTCAGGAGTGTCAGCCCGGCCCATGAAGCTATCTCGGCTAGATCCCATGGTGGGGAAGTAGCTAAGCCTCTCCACAATGTCAAAGGAAGACAGGCGCCTGGGGGCTAGAGGCCTGCTTCTGGAGCACAGTTGGTGCTGGGAGTGGTGACTCTTGTCTCCTACACTCCCCTGCAGCTGTATGGGGTCATCTGGGTTCTCAGGGCTGGGCACTGCCGGGCTTCCCGGGCAGTCTGGGGGTGGAGTCCTGCAGGATTTGTGTTGGAAGGGCTTTTTCAATCTGAAGGGGAGTGGGCTCATTAGGTAGACATTTCTGGGGAGCATGTGTCTGTCCCCATAGACATCCCCTTTGGAATCAGGGTTCCTGAAGGCCTGCTGCTGCTCATGCCTTCGGATGGTAGTGAACCTGGTGTAGGAAGCTGGGCATGCGCCTTTGCATCTGCTGATTTTATGCTTCTGAGACCCGTTGAGGTTGCTGCTGCTGCTGCCACTGTCATTGGATACATGTGAGAGGAGATCTATCTCATCTGTGCAAGCTGAAAGTGTGTCCATGAGGATGGCATCACTGACATCCGAAGCAGTGTCCTCCACATTGCTGCAGGAGTGGGAGGATTTATCTGCCAAGCTGGCAGCATCCTTTTCTTCTTGGTGTGCTTTTGGCAAATCCAGAAGAAACTCTGCAGAGTAGGCAGAACTCAGACAAGTTTTAAACTGGAGAGAAGTGGTGGATTTGTTTTGTCCAGTGGAAAAGTCAAGCGAGGGCATTGATCTGGATCTCTGGATCAGCTGCTCAAAGGCACTGATACGGGAGGAAACAGTGTGTTTGGGGATCTGCTCTGAATCCTCTCGACTAAGGCTGTGCTCCATCCTGTCCTTTGCTTCATTCTCAAACTGAGATGCAATATCCCTCACGCTGCAGGAGGAGACTGTGCCCAAATGGATCCTGGACCGGTTGATCTGGTGCATGTCTTTATACAGCACTGTAAACTCCATCCCACTCTTCCTGGAGGCAGGGAACAGGTAGCCTTTCCTAGAGTTGGTGCCATACTCCTGCAGGCTCATGGTACTGCCGGATTTGATGGCATACTCCTGCTTTGACTTCATCAACATGTTTTCTATGCTTTCCCCTACATCTACCATTAAAGCTTTTTTATTATCAAACAAAGCAACGGAGCTACGAAGGTTTTCGCAGCTTTGAGCTTTCTCATGAGACAGCAAGATACCCTTCTTGTCCTGCACAAGAGCAGCTGGAGCTGCTAGTTTGGGTTTGAATTTAGAAGGGAGGATTTCAGTAATGCAGGCTTTTGCAGCTGATAAAGGCTTCTTATGTTTACATGCGTGACCTAACATACCGGTATGACTAGCGTTAAAGGTTCGGCTATTAACTGAAGAGGGTGCAGTCATATGAGCATTCCCACCTTTACGATCCACTGGTAAGCATGCAGAATAAAATAAATACAACCTGTTAGCTTAAGTGCTAGAAAGCTATTGTGAAAGGAGAAAGAACATGCTTGGATTTCATAAAATGCACTTTAAAGAAACAAAGTTCCAAAACAAAGAAAAGCAGGAAGAAACTGCACAACAAGCTGCGCTTACAGGAGTAGGTGAAGTGCTGCCAACATCTCTAAAGTGAGAGGCTTGGCCAGAAGCAGATCGGGAGCACTTTGAAGGTACCCTCCTAAAAAGTGCTAAGCATCATCAGCTTCCAGGGGAGCTGCAGCACCATGGAAAAGGGCAGCTGAACTCTGGGCAGGATCAGGGTGTCAGCAAGAATGCAGAGGAACTAACATTGCAAAAATGGCTTAACACCAAGCCTGTAATCACACCTACTATTGTCTCACCACAGTGTTTGCCAAACAGCTTACCATCACATCCTGTGAGAGAGAAGACAATCGGCAGCTGACTGTGCTAGCACAAGCAGGCCACATCAGCTGGCCTTGCCCAAGAGCTGCCTGCTTAGAGATTTCCCACACCAGGAATAAGCTGAGTGGCCTTAACACAATCTGGTTGGCCATGTCTGCTTTAAAAATCAAGGAGTCAGATCAGGACTTTTTTTTTTTTTTTTTTTTTTTAAAGTCAGATCCAGTCTGGGTTCAGCTTAAACTGCAGTTTTTAGGTCTGTTTCCAATTTGAGTTCAAACTCAAATGTCAAAATAACCATTCAGCTTCAATTGCAGTTTGGGGGACAATAACTGCTTGAACACATTTTTTTGTTCAGATTCAGTTTGACTCCCTGCTGACATAATGCTGAAAAACAGCTGGAAGAGACAGACCTTGGTGTGATGTACTATTTTTAGGGAGAGCAGTTCAGACACCCAATGCATTCCTTTCCCAGTCCTCTCCTCATCTCAAGCCATTTTTAGGTTGAAGTTGGCTCAGAGATACATTCCCCAATATAACTGCCTGATGGGAGTCAGGCTCCTTCTTGTCCTAATCTTCTAGAGAGTCCACAGTAGGGGGAGGAAAGGGGAGGAGATGCAGTGATCTGCTGCCTCGCTGTCTCAGAATCTGCAGGGCATTGCTGGTTCACAGTGTCCCATGCATTCTCTGCACACCCCTCACAGGCAGGAAACTGGGGAGCACATGGCACCAGCTACACCAAGGTAGCCATGCCAGCAGACATGGTGTGGCCTGCTGAGATATCGCAGCAGGAAGAGCAGAAAAGGCAGGGAAGGGTTCTAGCATGGCAAGGCAGTGGGAGCTGATGGATAGCAAGGCCAGCCTGAGCAGCCTCGAGGAAGAATATGAGGGTGTGGCTGAGGTGCTGGATGAAGGGAGCTGGTCCCTGTTGGGAAGAGGAACCTGGATCAGGTAAAGGGGTAATGAAAAGTATTGGCCAGTGTGGGCTGAGAGAAAAAAGGAGGGAAAACTGGGGATGGCAAAGAGGAAGGGCAGAGGAAACCTCAACTGGCTCTAATAAGACTCCAAACCCTGCAGCAGTTTGCCCAGTATCACCTGACTTTTAACAGATAGGAGAATTTTGTGCAGAATGGAGAAGAGGTTAGTGCCCTGACCACCTACCTTTTGTGGAAGCAGAGCTAGAAGGTCGCTTGAGACCACTCAGCCCCTGGAATGGGATATCTCCACCTTCCAGCACACTCTTGTAAATCTGCCTTTCATTCTCCAAGCCAGCAGGGTCGCCCAGTGCTGATTCTGACTCCCTCTTCACTGCATGGTAGTTGGGTGAACATGTGGAGCTGGAAGGAGGAGGGACACCTGTGGGTCACTTCTGTTTGCTGAGAGCTTCGTGCAAAGTAATAGAAAACCATACTTGTGAACCCAGAATAGACTGTGTATAAAGAACTGGTGCTGAATGAAGAGGTTATCAATGCATTGCAATAATATTCTGAGTTTGGCACATTCTCTACCTGAGGGAACTCTCCCAGCTCAGTCCCTCAGAAAGCAGACATCAGGAAAGCACTCCTGTATTTTACAGACGAGACAACAGTCGCAGAGCAGATGCATGATTTCTTTGCAGACACAAAGAAACCGAGTGGCTAGCTGAAAGTAGCACAAATACCTTCCTACTCCTAGTCCTCTCTCCTTAAACACTAGTCATGCCTGTCCCCTGGTTAAAAAGTACAGCTGCTCAGGAGTTATTCTCAACCAGTTCAGCCTCTCAGTTAACACCATAGTTCAAGACTCCCAGAGCAATTTCTGAGGCCCATCAGTGAGGGACCATGCAAAGAAGCAATACTACGGGGCTATGGACACTACTGTTTTAAATGCCAAAGGAATTCCCAGATGTGCACAGTTCTGCTCAGCTTTGCCTCAGGTTTCCACTACAGGGAATGAAAAATCCTGGACTCTAGGTCTACCATGCAGATATATAAACAAAATCCTGTTAAAATTAGTACAATTTTTAATTTCTTAGGCCTTTAACACTGGACCTATATTACAAATCCTTTTCCTCAGTCATGAATCTAAGCATAAGTATGTCCCCAGATTCGAGTACTAGATTTCACTGTTTTCTCTATAAAAAAATAACTAACAATGCCATGGTGTAAATGGCCTTTCCAGATACAAAAGACTTGCTAAGCAGTCAGACAGACAATGTTTTCCTAAACGTTAAGCTCATCTGATACCAGTTCTTGTGCTCAACCAGGCTCTTCTGGATAAGATGCAGTCTCACAACAAGCTATTCTGGGGCCAAAGCAGGACTGCTGGAAAGTTTTGGGGAAAAAAAAATAAAATAAATAAATAAATAAAAAAAATAGAGCACTTGCCAATTCATGGAAACATTTTGAAAGCTGCTTTACATCCTGACGTCCAGGAGTGATTCAGGTCTATATGAGTGTGGAAATGCTTGTGGTTACGCCTGCTTGTTGTGGATAAATTTGTACATGCATCTGTTTATTTTGGATAGATGCTGTACTTACGGGGTAAAGAGAAAGCTTTCAAGTACATCAGAGGACTGGCTATGGAGATGGAATTACACAATGTCTGGGATCAGAAAGAAGATTTTAGTTTCCAGACAAGGAAAACCAGGTCATATGCATTCCCATAAATTACTTTCTGGAGGAAAAACTCGTGAAAAGCACCATGAAAGAGGAAGGGAATACTGTCAGTTTTTCAACCTAGCCAATGCTCAAATAGACCCACAGCTACAGAGCTGTTGTGTCTTATGGGGGTTATCCAAGTACCTCTCTTTGTGAGGTTCCTGAGGAAGTCCTGCCACTTGCTGCAGGGAATAATGACTGCCCTGAGGTTCCTCACCTGGGAGGTAAAACCATTTTAGCCTAGTTATTAGAAACCAATGGGTTAAAACGATCCTCCTTTGGGAATACACCTGAGGGAGAGAGAGGAGGCATTTGTCAGAGTCCCTTTACTGGTTGCTCCCTCGTTAGGACCAGCAAGCAGTACTTTGGGGACCAAGGCAGTCTGCAAGATCAGAATCAGGTGAACAGAGAGAAGAGCAACACTGCAAAAAAGACAATGAACTCCATGGATCTTTTCTCCCTGCTCTGTAAAGGCAGTGAAGAATGTGCAACTCCACTCAGCCTCACTGTTGTGTCCCATTCCCTGCTTATCCATACTGCTTCTCCCCCACTGGCTCCAACACTAGCACTCCTGCATGCTTTGGGTGGTGTCAGAAAGGGCACAGAGAGTGCTGCTGCTGTGGGCAAAAACCTTACTAGCCTTTGGCAAATATAAGCTACTCTTTTATGCTAAGCTTTGAGGTTTCCATTTATTTTATTGCTCTCTCCCTACCAAAGCAAAAATCAACAGTCATAGGAGCAACCAACAAAATGCTACAGCATGGCAGTTTCCCAGCAGAATGAACACAGACAGAAGGGAACTGAGTTGAAAGAAGTACAAGAGACCCCTAAGGCAGCCCCAGAAGAGTGGTGAACACACGTGATACTAATGGGCATCTGGAGAAGAACATGAGTTTCCTAATAAACCATCCACACAGAGGGGATCACTGTGCTACGGACAACGTTAAGCACTCAGTCCAACTACAAGGAGTAGCAGGTTCACCATAGGAGCTGGCTTTATGGCTTGAGTAATTAAGTATAGCTCAGCATGTTGCTCTGGATTTTTTTTTTTTTTAAACAAACCAGCTCTATGTACAACTCATTTAGACAGAGTACAGTTTATTACATATTCCTCCACAAAAGCAGT